CCGCCCAAGCCAGCCGTGAGCCAAGCTGGACATGGCTGGGTGCTGGGGACCCCCCAGCCTTTGGGCTGGTGACACGGTGGAGCCTGCCCACCCCTGGGCACGGACTAGCCCAGGGCACCTGCCGGATCAGCTAGGAAACGCCTCGGAGAAGAGCCCCCCGGCAATGCACTGGCCCTGACTGGAACACGCAGCCGGGCCGTTGCCCCATGTGCCCGGCTCTGGGCGCGTTGCCGTCAGCGCGAGGCAGCAGCAGCGAACGCCACAGGGCACTCAGCCCCCAGTCCCTGCCTGGCCCCCCAGGGCATGGCAGGCAGCTCACTGTGGGGTGCACAGCTTGCAGGCGGAGGGCTGGGCTCCCAGCCATGCAGAGTAAGCAGCTCTCTGCTAGCACGCGGGTTGGTTACCGAGCGCCCATGGGACTGCAAGCCAGGGCGGGGGGCAGGGAGCTCGCAGCCTGGGCTGTCCGACCAGCGCCCGGGGGAGCCCAGCCACACCCGCCAAGGGGAGATGCCCATGAGGCTGGGGGGCAAAGTGCAGTGGCACCGCCAGGCACAGGGAGCCTGGTGTCTCCGCACCCCAGCCATGTGCTGCGGAGGGAACGGGCATGCGGCGCCCAAGGTGCAGGGGGTCGTGTTCTCAGCCGGCTGGAGCGGGCACAGCCCAGGGCAGGCCAAGCGGGGAGCCAGAACCCAGGCCCCTGCAATGCCTGGTGCAGGAACGGTGCTGGACTTGGGGGGAGTAGCATGGAAGCTCAGAGCTGTAAGTCCCTTTCCAGCCACACAGGGGCACTGAGCAGGGGTGGGGGGGGAACAGGCCATGTGGGGAAACTGAGGTACAGCGAAGGTCACCTGGGGATAATCTAGCAAGGCTTCCACCTGGCCGCTCCCCTACACTGAGCAGGGGTGGGGGGGGAACAGGTCATGTGGGGAAACTGAGGTACAGCGAAGGTCACCTGGGGATAATCTAGCAAGGCTTCCACCTGGCTGCTCCTCTGCACTGAGCAGGGGTGGGGGGGGAACAGGCCATGTGGGGAAACTGAGGTACAGCGAAGGTCACCTGGGGATAATCTAGCAAGGCTTCCACCTGGCCGCTCCCCTACACTGAGCAGGGGGGGGGGGGAACAGGCCATGTGGGGAAACTGAGGTACAGCGAAGGTCACCTGGGGATAATCTAGCAAGGCTTCCACCTGGCCGCTCCCCTACACTGAGCAGGGGTGGGGGGGGAACAGGTCATGTGGGGAAACTGAGGTACAGCGAAGGTCACCTGGGGATAATCTAGCAAGGCTTCCACCTGGCCGCTCCCCTACACTGAGCAGGGGGGGGGGGGGAACAGGGCCTATGGGGAAA